CTCAGCTATGTATTTTCACCGCACACGTTGGGAAAACTACTCAACAACAACATAATTGACAAAATCATTTGCATTTTCCTCCATTTTGTTCCAAGTCACATGAAGAAACCATGGTTTGTCATTGGCTAATTGATTCAAACAGCTCCGCACTTAGCTCACAATAACTCGCCTCGCGAGGCGGTTAATAGCTCAGCAAGTTACTCTCGTGTGCGGCGGGCTTTACGATTTTAGAACGGCAACGCGACGACGATGGCCAAAACAAACTCCTTCAAATAAATGGTAGTAAAGATAGTTCGTCTTATATTATCAATCGTATGAATTTAATACAGTCTTAGAAGTTGAAGACATGGGTTTTATGGGTGGGAAGAGTTCTGCTGAACCCAGTTTGAAGTTGCACTTGTTGTGGCTTGGAATGCAGCCGTTGTATCAAGACGTGAAAATCTGTGATTTAGCGTTGTAAACAGAGCGAGGACAATGTCTAAATTATTCATATATTGTAATTTTTCAATTCTTTTCAATGATCTGTTATACCGGTAGCCGTTGTCGTCGCGTTGCCGTCCTAAAATCGTAAGGTCTCTACTATATCGCTTTATACGACTTTACTGCATGAGTATTTGTGTACTTTTTCTCAAATGCTGAGTAGGCGTTACCCGAGCAGAGATTTGCCCCAGAAACGCCATGATTCGGGCTGGCACGCCCTACCAAAAAGCTGTAGTTCCGAATTTTACTTATAGGAGGAACTCAATGGGTTAAATGATCAGTGTATAACCATGTTCGACCAAAACATGGGTTTCGACCAAGTTTTCAGAATTTGATCTCTCTTCATTGCCAGGTACTTTCAAATGAAATAAATCTAGTGTACTGTACGCGTCTTTAGTTTACATATACCTTTTTCATCTGACTTTTTATCAATGGGTGATAATATTGAAGAATGATTTATCTAAAACACGAAATACACAATGATAAAGCCACAATTGCATTATTTAGTACAAACAATAAAATTGCAAGTAACAATTATTAGTCAACACAAGGAATCGATTACTAAGATATAATTAACAGCAAAATCACAACTGCATGTATATCATTACTGTACAACTCACATGTAACTTTTTGTACACATCTGCTGATGTTTGCGACGATGTCTTTTTCCCATTTAGCAAATCATCAATATCTTGTAATGTATTGCTACAAAAATTAACAATTGAAAATATTTAGTTGCAAAATTGTCACTGAAAGTAAGCATGACAGAAACTACAGTACTATCAAATACCGACAATGTAGTACATTATACCTCACATTTTTCGTATTAGCCGTTTCACTTTTCTCTAAAAAAAAAACACATTCAATGCCAATGTTTAAAGTTAATACCTTCTTGTATTAAAATTCGCGCAGTACTAGAATTCGCGCAGCGCTGGGTGCGCGAATTTTAGTACTGCACGAAATATAATCCGCGCGAAAAGCTTTGTGGTGTAATATGAGAAACTCATTGTAATACGAGACAGGCATTAGTAATGCAAGTAAGTTGATTTATTAACTGATTTGTATTACTACTTGCATTATGTTATGGTATTAAGCAAATGAGAACCATACAATAAATGTCTTAGTATTTGTTGGTATTTTGAACTCATTACATAATTTTGAAGCCATTTTTGAGGCCACCTAATCGCTTTTTGATTAATGAAGTTTTGACAAATATTGAAGTATTTGACAATTTGTTGCTAAAAAATACTCATTATAAATACGTTAATTTTTAATAGTTCTATTAATTTAAACACACAATAAGTTTTTCATTCCTTCTGAATTTACCTTTCTCTTTGGCTTTTCTATCGTTTTCAATGGCTGCCGCTTTTGTTTCTTCTTCAAGCTTTTTGTATCTAAAAACGTAAGATAATGATACATTATACTTAACCCTTTATGTGGCAATGCACCCTGAGGCACCCCACGGATTGTGAACTTTGCAATTATAATAAACTATAGGGCAGTGGAACAGGTTTTTTTTTTTTGTTTTTTTTTTTTGGGGGGGGGGGCTAATTTCCACACACACACCAGAAATGTTGGAGACAGGGGGGGGGGGTTCAGACCTAACATATTTCATACTTTAGTTGATATTTTTAATACATTTAAAGTTGCTCTAAAGTTGCTCAATTTTTATATGTATAAACTTCAAAATTTAGAATCTTATTTATAACCTACCTCAGTGTTTTCATGATATGCATTTTTATTATTTTTAAAATTGTCTATTTTACTGCAGTAGAATTGGATTTGCATTTCAAATATAAATGTATTTAGTCAACTAAATGATCGACTATATAATGAGTTGTGGTAAGCAAATGAAATAGAATTTCAACGGGCATTTTTTTTTTATGTGGCAGTTCAAATTTGTTTTTGCCTGCCATTTCTAAAATCTGGCCTGCATTTGGCCATTGGTACCCTGCTTTTTCGAGCCCTGTTTCATTTGTCAATTATTGATCCATCAATGGCATATGCTCAGATATATACCTTTTCCAATCAACATGAATTGCAGTAATTATCTGGATTTTATCCTACCTTTCTCGGAGACTTTCTGATAACTTTTCAGCTCTTTCAATTGCTTTATTTAAAGCTGTTCTACCAATGATACTGCTGTAGTATTTCTGAAGAAAAAAGATTGGGTTATTGCAGAAAATACCCAAAATTGAGATATTTAATCAATAACATGTGGTGATATCTCAAATATGTAGGGGTCCGGTGTACTGGTACAAATATACAATATGCTACTGTGGTTTGTGACTGTGTGTCTGAATTACATGAAAAAATTTAATAGAACAAAGTTTTTTTTTTCAGGTACAGTAGTTCAGATGCATACCCTGGTCCCACTTGAATTAGTTGAGAAAAAATGATGTGCAAATTAGGAGTGTACCAGAACTCGGTTCACAGCCGGTTAGAACCCTGATTTTTCAGAGTTCCGGTTCCGGCCGGAACTCTGAAAAAAAAAAAATGCCCGGAACCGGAACTCTGTCGTTTTCAGTGAAATAGAATATCAAGTTTATTTATTGAATAACATACTGGAAGAAATTTGAACTACACAAGAAAAATGTACACTATTAACACTTCATTATGATGTTTAACGTTAGTAAATCTTTTTATTCTAACATTTGTGAGCTCTCTCCTTGATGACTGAAAGTGTCTGGCTGTCTGGCAGCAGACAAAGTAACATATGACCATATATCACTTAATGAATCAGTTCCGGGCAGATCCGGTTCTAGCCAGAACTTTAAAAATTGATTCCGGTGCACCCCTAGTGCAAATGTGTTCAAACCCTGCACAAACCACAGCCAGGGGTGTAGGAACTGGGGGGGGGGGGCAAGGGCCCCCAAGTTTTGAAAAGTGCCCTTTTTCCGGTAGCAAAATGCCCTTCTGACATCATGAAAAATGTCGTTCAGATTACATTTTTGCCTTGATGGCCTTTGATTTATGATTGCATTTATTTTGGTATGTCCGGAAAATTTTTTGTTATTTTTGGAAAAAATGATATGTCCGGAAAAGTTTTTGTATGTTTGTGAAGATAATGATATGTCCTGAAAATTTTTTGAGTTGCCCTCCCCCCCTCTTTAGGTGCCCTTTTCTTTCGAAAAGTGCCCCTCAAAACTGCCCCCCCCCAACTTTTTCATGCTTCCTACGCCCCTGACCACAGCAATGCTTTATGGAGGGTAATTAGACTATGTTGGTCAGCTGGTAAGCCTTAAAGTTTGATAACAATGGAGGGGGCATAAAATGGACATTAGTTTGCTACCTTATCTGCTTGATATTTTGTTGTCTTTGTCACTTCTTGCATGATGTTGAAAAACCTCATGTACAACACAAACGCATTTTCTTCATCTCCTATCACGTCATCATCCACAGCTTTTTTGTAAACTTTTTCTGCCGAGTTTATCCATCTAGCATGTTTAAATTTTAGGGGAATTATTATATGGCAAGCATCACTTCCGGTGAAATGGCGGACTGTGATTGGCTGAGAAGCACTTTCAGGGGTCCATTATTTTCCCGTAATGGACCGGCGGCCCATTACGTGAAAACAAATGCATGCATTTTAAAACAAAACAGCAACACCAACTGAAACTGCTGCCTCAAACTTGATGGGGTCTCAACAGATATATTAGAAAAACCAACTGGGCATATACAGTATACATTGGACTATTTCATGTTGTTTAAGATGCCTGTAATGGAGCACTGTTCTTCATTGAAATGAGCACTTAAATACTTGTAGTCTGGATTATATGAATCTTGGAAAAATAAACATTTTACATGTATTACTCTTGAAAGATTGCAGTTTTAGTGCAGAGTAATCAGATTGATAGTTAGATGATGACGGGGCTAATCCATCGAGTGCCAGCACTGTCGCCTTGCCGGGTAAAATCATCATTAGGGTTGGGCGATATTTCGATATTTTGATTTATCGCGATATTTTCAATCGCGATTATCGTATCGAAGGTAGAAACTTGAGCGACGATATATCGAAATTATTGTCATGCTCGATGACTATCGTGATTTTGCTTCGCATGTGTATATAGCTTTTATAAAATCCTAAATAAATTCTTTCAATTCACTAGAAAATATAGTTTTTAAAAGAATTAAAACTATTTCCTGAATTAAATACGAATTTAATACGATAAAAATGAAATTGCAGACGAACCAGCGGAGACACAGTAGACACTGCATAGGCAGAAATTCACTTTTTCCGGTGGGGGGCGAAGCCTTCTAAATTTCTGACAAAACTTTCAAATTTCCGACAACCCCCCCCCCCATTTGCACTTGAAATTAGGCTGTTTTTAGCCCTCCTATAGGTCAAAATTTCTGAAAATTTGTCATTTTCCACGAAGGTGGGGGTGCTTCCCCCCTGCCCCTCCGAGATTTCCGCCACTGGTTACGCCAAAATCACAGGCAAAATCAGGAAGTCGACCTTCTGTCTGTCTCTATTCTGTGACCGAGTTAACTCCGGATGGTGATACATTTATATCAGCGAGTGTCAACACAGATGTTACAGATATATAATCATACTACCAAACAAAAGATCTGTCTCTAGTAAAAAATCAAGCGACCGGCAGGAACAGTTTGATATTTTAACATTCTTTAATACTACCCAACCAATCAAATAGCTGTTTTACAAAATATGACATCATATATTTACGTTTTCGACAAAAACATACAACAGTAACTTACATCTATATTTATTTCACATTATTACAAATCTAACTCTTCAACAAAAACACATTTCAATCCTACAATATCGATACTATAATAAACACCCATACTTACGGTTTGGGGTTGGCATTTTTGCCAATTTTATCCTGAATTTGGGCCATCTTATTCAGTTCCCCTACACTCTTGGCCAAATTCAATTCCTTCTTTTTGGCGCTCGGCATTTTGCTTAATCAATGTCAAAGAAATATTTAAAGGACGGGCACCATTACTTAAAGAACTGTATCCATTCAGTGTCTTTGAATCAACTCGATTGTGTTCAATTCAAGTCATTTTTGATGTTTATGTTTCTGATTCTTTAATTTCCAACCAAAACATTACGCATTTGGGACTAGAATCTAGTTCTTGTATAGGAGTACGTCATTCACTGGGCTGTAGTTATTAACTGGATTGCTTTGCGTGTCGTATTTTATTTTAATATCGGTATCAAACTTGTCTATAATAGTCGGCCGGCCAAGGTGACAAAAAGTGCCTCTAAAGAGAGTTTGATGGCAACTTTATGTTAGAAGCTGGTAACAGGCATTTTCTTATAGTTCAAGCCTTGGTGAATAAGACTGTGTGTGTTACCACTTCTGATTTTTGCTTTATAGCCAAAAAATTGAGAATTTTAAAATTTTGCCTATTAAATTACTATGATGGCAAAAAATGTAAATTTCATGTTCTCTTATACAAAAAATAAACTATACCACTAGAAAGAGCGCAAAAAACTATATATAAGATAATTAAGCGACTAGTGCGATTTTCAAGCCGATTTTGAATTAAAGATGGTTAAAGTTGGCAAAATGGGTACTAATTAGCATTAATTTGGTCATTTCTGCATTTTTTTAACATTAAAAACTCGAAATAGGATTGGAAAAACGTAGAACTCACTTAATTGTCTTATATATAGTTTTTTACGCTCTATCTAGTGGTATAGTTTATTTTTCGTATAAGAGAACATGAAATTTTACATTTTTTCCGATCATAGTAATTTAATAGGCAAAATTTAAAAATTCTCAAATTTTTGGCTATAAAGCAAAAATCAGAAGTGGTAACACATATAGTCTTGTTCACCAAGGCTTGAACTATAAGAAAATGCCTGTTACCAGCTTCTAACATAAAGTTGCCATCCAGTTGTACAAATTGATGACTTGGCCGGCCGTCTATAAGATATTTATTCTAATTATTCATTTGTCATCGGGAATACACTGTATAGAAAATCTATGTAGAATGCACTGATGATTCAATGTAGTCCAACTTCCGACCGACAAAACTTTTTGTTCTGTATATCCACACCGGGCAGGCTTGAAAAATATGCCTGGCCACGGTGGGAATCGAATATGCGACCTTTGGGAACACTAGCCCAATGCTCTGCCAACTGAGCTACGCGGTCAGGTCGGTTCGAGTATGTGATATTTCGGAACTGATTCTAGTTCCTTCGATATCAGTGTAATCTAATAATCATGATATTGGCTGTGTTGGTGTAATGTACTCAGGTGAATAAGATGCTTGTGATGTTACTCTGAGTGTCTGTTTGCCCGCTTTGGAATTAGATTTTTAACGCGAAAAGTTGTAAATTATGATAGCTTCTTAATATGCATAGGTGGCAGAATAATGGTTTGGTTTGGTGCCATGTTTCCCCAGAAAATTTTGATATCTAGTGTCTCTTAAATGGCATTTCCTGTTTTCTAGCTGGAGACGATTAGACTTGCAGAAACCACAATCGGGTTAAAAAACCAATGATTTATAATTTATTCGTATGAGATGTCATTCCAAATCCTCCAATGGACCTTTCCCCTTATAACTAAAATTATGATCTAGACAAAAATTTCATCACAGCTTGAAAGAGCATCACAAAATTAGTATTCTGAAGTTTCGTTGCGAAATGTTGTAAAATGCGGATAATATAGCCCTGCGAAATTTGCAATTTTCAGTCATTTTGTATTACAAACGGAAAATTGATCAGGCCCTTGGGCTGTCAATTTCCCATGCGTAATACAAAATGACTGAAAAACGGCAAACTTCGCAAGGCTATATCATCCGCATTTTACAACATTTCGCAACGAAACTTTGGAATATTACTAATTTTGCGATGCTCTTTCAAGCTGTGATGAAATTTTTGTCAAGATCAAAATTTTAGTTATAAGGGGAAAGGTCCATTCGGACTGGACTAGATTTCAAGTTCTTGCATTCTGATCCAGGCCTTGGCTTCGCCTCGGATTTGATCAAATTGCGCGGACGTCGACTTGAAATGTAGACCAGTCCTCAGTCATAGTCAGATTTGAAATATTACAGTAACTTACATTTTCACTTTCTGAAGTTCTGAAAGACAAAACATGGAGAATTTTTTGTCTGGATTATCCGAAGTTTTATTTTCTAAAGTTTTGAAATGGACAATGCAGAATTACACAAACCAAAACAATGTGTTAAATTCAGGGGCGCCGAAACTGGGGGGGGGGGGCAGGAGGGGCAGCCGCCCCCGTTGCCCTTTACCAGGTGTGGCAAGGGGGGCAAAGGTGCCCTTTCAATTTAAAGGATTGCCTTGGCGAAATAGCGAATTGTCAGAAATGTTAGTGCAATTCTTTTACGAATTTGCTTCAGAAAACGCAAGAAATGCAGTCATCGAGCTTAATCAAGAATAGCACAATCGCCTGGCGGAGAACCCCTTCACACCCTTATCATCCAATAAATAGAAAATATGATTAGGCGAAGTTCAACTCCCGATGTTTTGCAAACATCTCTTAGAGTATATCAATTCAAAAGTGCCCTTTCAGGCTTTCACGAAAATCTGCCCCCCTTGCCTTCACATCGTTCCGGCGTCCCTGGTTAAATTTTAACCCAACGGTTAGCACTGATACAGCTTTGAACAATTCTGCCCCAAGTTAATAAGGCTAATCATATTAACTATGGGCTAATCCAGCGTTCGAACAACCAGCTCCGTACTGACGCTTACTAAAGCCTACAAATAATCAAAACCAGAATCTCCTAGAGCACAATACTGAGGTAACGAAAGATTGTTTTGGCAAATTGGTCATATAATCTCGTGTAGAATGACAAACGGGGATATTATTTTCAGGGTATCATGACCAGTTTGCGTCACACCGTTGCAGCACATTGCTATTTCCGCTTCATTTAACTTCCTTGTGTTGTTATAGTTTTCTCAGACTAAAATGGATCCTCGCTCGGTTAAGATGCTTCTCAGCCTGTTGTGTCTCGCTTTCGCCGCGCATTTAATTCAAGGTAAGTGATGTACAGCTTCACATTTTTGCGCGATATAGCTACGAACATAGGGCGGCGAAATTAAACGCAATTAAAATATGAATATTAAATGCGTTTGCGGTGCAAACAACGGTCCGAACGTTAGCCATCAAACGAGTTCTTGTTATGTCTTGTAAGGCATTGAGATATTCTTTCTCAAAATCGACAAATTTGTTACAAAACGCGTGCTTGTTTACATATGGTGAAAGCGCTTGCTACAGCTGATTTTAATCATTCTTAGAACGCAACGTTTTTAAAGAACAAGACGTTTTCAGTACTTTTACACCGTTGCGCACTCCGTTTTTGATTCGTTGTCTACAGTAATTCTGATTAGTTTTTAATAAAAGAGCTTTACTTATTAACTCTATAATAGCCTACGGTAATACGCGCACTTATAAGCGTACGAATGCACGAGATTTAGAGTTTTCGTCTAAGGCCGCCTCGTAGTGATTTTACAGTCGCGCAAACACAAAAAAATTAGACTACGGATATATTTATGAAGAAAAATAGTCCTTTATTTACCTCTCAGGTTCAAAATTTGACAATGCGGAATAACTGACTAAGGCGCATAGATTGATAGATACTTGGAAACCAAGTTCCTCCCAGCCCCCATATTGGTACCTCCAGTAAACCATGTCGCCC